CCCCCCCTTTTTTTTTTTTACATGTATGAGTTTTATTTGAAATGCTGTACAGCCTAGTTCATACCAACACCATAAGGTCATCAGAAAAAGTTCCAAAAAGCAGTATTCTTGACAATACCTACCAAGACTCTAGCAACTGGAAATGGATGCTCATTATGTTCATTTTCAAACTGAAAAAGGTACTATCTTTTCAAAGGCATATACCTACTTTGCTTACAATTTAGGATGGAGATTTGCACTTAGAGACATTTCAATTAACTTAAAAATTTAGGTCAGGTGGAAAAGTTTAAGTCATGGATGCTAAACAGCACCAGGAGTAAATATTCAAGCATTATACAGACAATATCATTGAAGAGCAGCTAGGAAATCTTTGGGTATTGTAACAAGGTTGCTGACTTAAAATATATAGACATTATCTTTTACTTAACATATAGGACTATTTGCATAGTCAGTACAAATGTATATACTGTTTTTGAATGCAACTCTACCATCATCATGCATCCTACAATGAAAATAAATAATTTTAATTTTTTGGTTACCAAGTCTTCATTGTTGCTAAGCAACCTCACTTCTTTTCTATTTTGTAGTCAGCACTGTCCGGGGCTGTCCTCAGAGGATTTCTGAAACTTGAGCATTGGCTGGTTATCAGACATTCCCTGTGGACTTAAGTGAATTTGTTTCTCGGACCACAGGAGCCTGCTACATTCAACTGTGGAACTGTTCTAATTTTGGCTCAACCTTTAAAAACAATTGTCTTTAGAATACCTTAGGAAATTAGAAATACTGTTTAGTAATGCTGACTCTTGCATTCAATATCTCAAAATGCTGAATGGTCTCATTATTTTAGATACTGCATAAAGGAAACTTGCCTAGATATCCAACTTCCCCATTAAAACTTTCTTAGGCAATGGTTATGATTTTACAGGAGGGCTTACTAGCTTTGTGGTACTGATACTCTAAGACCAGAGCTTCCCAAACTTTTCCTAAGCATGACCCCATTTCCTCAGCATGGCTCCTCACTCTCAACCCAGAGTGCCGACCCCATCTGCTAATGTTGCAGTTCCATTTGGGGTCATGACCCACAGTTTGGGAACCACTGTTCTACACAGACAGTCAATAATGGATTTTCATTAATAATAGGTTATGGGAGAAAAAACAATATTTTTTAAAATACTGCTTTTAAACCACCAATAGTAGTTAGTTTATATTCATGTGCTTGTTCCAGGAGATACTGGGAAAACTGAATGTATAATAGACACACATTGGCCAGACATTTATTCTACATTTAATGACAACTTTGCTGTTTTAGAGAAACTGCCAAAGAAAATACAGCAAAATGACTATTTTGGAATAATACCTGTCAACCTATACTCACTAGCACCACATTGAATGATATTCTAAAGTGGATCATTTGCCATACAGTTCCAGAAACACAGACCACATTACAGAGCATTTATTTGTCAGTGTTTCAAGAGGTGTTGCATGAATTTCAGAAAGCTAAAGCAGGAATTTTGATAACAGGAAAGTCAATCAATTTTGGATACTGGACACGCCCAAAACCTCCTGATGGAGTGATTATGTTTTAAGTGACTCATGCATATTTTGGACACATCACATTGCTAGTGAAAGGCTTTCAGTTTGAAATCTACTTTGACTGAACCATTTATTATAATGATATGCCAGGGAATTTCCTCAAAACACACTAAGAGGTCAAATTAACCCATTAATAGCAATCAATTTGCAATAATTGTGATCCTCCCCCAGGAACCATTTTAAGGGGGAAGGTGGGTGGCAAAGCACATCTGGTGTCTGCCATTTTAAGAGCTGGTGACAGGGTCCCAGTGACAAGGGCGTCTGGGAGTCCCAGCCACAAGTCAATTAATGGTGTCATAGGAACCAGCCACAGTTATTTCACATTTTTTGTGTAATAACTTTGTGGTTTATTCCTCATAGCTTTAATTAACATGTAACCAGGTAGCAACTTAAGATGCAATCAACTGGTTAATCATATATTAAGTGCAACGAGTGCCAGGGACCTTGAACATTAACTAATGGGCACCTGCCCAATACATACTTTTCAAAGACATTTTATAAGAATTTACACCATGCCTGTATGTACTACATATGTAGTAGTGCTATGTGTATATGTACTGATGTACAAGATATTATAAACACATGTAGAAGGAATATGAGCCAGGAGATTTATACGTCTCTGCATTATATCTGTAAAACAGGAACTCATTTTTTAAAGAGAAAGAAAAGTTCAATCAACATTCATAATTGCAATGTTGGTACTATAATACATACTTTGGAAAACACTGCAATTGGTTTTTAATAGTCCCATGGATCATTTTAATGAAGTTTACATTCCAGCTGAACAAAAAGCTAAGGAATCTTCTTCCCTGTAAAAAGAGAAAATAGATGTTATACTATAAAAAATTCATCAATTAATTTTCTCAGTTATCAATTTTAAATGGGCCTTAACGATTAAGCTGTTTCTTTAAAAATATTTTGATTACATCAGGGATTATTCTGAACAAAAAGAGAATACTTTTAAGCATTTTTATTTCCTACTGTACTTGAAATACTATTAGTAATATTAAGGGGTATTGAAATAATGCTCAGGCATCCTAGTCAGAGAAGCAGACCCCATTATGTTCAGCACTAGACAGAACTTTAGGCTAAGTTCTTTCTGCATGGTACATTTATCCTGGTATCAAGGATCCTTTATAAAAAATACTAAGTCTTGCATAGAATCACATTAAGGCGCTCCTTCAAAATTACTGCTTACAAAGAGCAATAATTTTCTGAAGTCATTTTGGTAATACAAATCTGTTCATAATCAAGTGAAATGTCAGTCTGAAGAAAAATGGAACAGCAATTTGTTTATGGAACAGGTCAGCAGTAACTAAAAATCTTCATTAAGATAAGATCCAGTAAATTGCTGCTGGCAACTAGATAATACAGCTGTGTGAAGCTTCGGGTGCTGATTTGATTCAGAGGAGATTTGGCCAAATTCAGCAGCCAAATCTCTGAATCGGATCAGGGGACCAATTAAAAGGTCCAAATCAATTCAAAGCTCTCTGAATCAATGCAGAAAAGATTTGGAGAGCTTTGGTGATTCGGGCAGTCCCTGCTGGCTGCAGCAGGGAGCTGGAGCTGGACCCCGTGCTGGTAAGTAGAGGGCAGGAGAGGAAAGGTTGAAGGAGGGGACCCCTGCCAGGCCCCACCCCCTGCCAGCTCCCCCAACCCCACCTGACCCCTGCCTGTTCTCCCAACCCTCCCAGGGCTGAGCAACTTAGCAAGGCCATAGACTTTCTAGCAAGCAGAAAAGCACCAGAAGATGGTATCCCAGCTGAGGTTCTTAAGTGTGGAAAAGCTAGCCTGCTACCACATCTTCAACTCCTCACGTGCTGCTGGAAGAAGATCAAGTACCCCAGGACATGCATGACACTAACATCATCACTCACTCTACAACAACAAGGGAGACGATTGTGACCGCAACAACTATAGGGACATAGTTGCTCTTTGCTCAGCATCACAGGCAAGGCTTTTGCCAGTCATCTTAAAATGCTTGCAACAACTTGATGACTGCAGGGAGATCAACAGTAGACATGATATTCTCCTTACACCAATTGCAAGAAAAATGCAGAGAACAAAATAAGCCACTGTACGCAGCATTTGTCCATCTGACAAAAGCCTTTGAGACTGTCAGTAGAGCAGGTTAGTTCAGGGTCCTGATAAGGATTGGATGCCCTGAAACGTAACTCAGCATGATATGCTCCTTCCACAAAAACATGCTAACTACAGTTCAGTTTGATGGATCAACCTCTGACAGGTTAAGATGAAGAGTGGAGTGAAGCAAGGTTGTGTTCTGGTTCCCTTACTCTTTGGTATATTCTATGCTGCTATACTACGTTGTGGCAGAGCACAGTTGGGATGCTTGCCACGTGACTCAGATGGCAGCAGGCTGGAGAAGAGCCAGCAGTGAAGGCAGCCGGGAGATACCCCGAGGGTCATTGTTTTAAGGGGGAAGGTGTGAGGCAGAGCACCAGCAAGGCTCACCACTCTGGGGCTTTTAGAAGCTCTGTGGGAGCTTGCTTGCGGAGCAGCAGGGAAAAGCCTCCCCCAGCAACCATTTTAAGGGGGAAGGTGGGTGGCAGAGAACATCTGGTGTCTGCCATTTTAAAAGCTGGTGGCAGGTGATGCCCCGTCTCTGATGAGTGACCTTTTTAGATCCAGGCCAGCAGAGCTGGAGGCAGCAGTCTGCTGCCTGACACCATGGAAGGAACTTCTCCTGGTGGAGCTGCTGCTCCTGCAACAACTAGGAGGTAAGGGCAGGAGCTTATGGGGATGGCTTGGAGACTTCTAGTCCTGGGTATGACTTGAAACTGCACCCTGCCAGGGAAGGGTGGCCTGGTGGGGCTCCTAGCAGCATGGGAGCCCTCGGGAAATGCTAGGCCAGTTACCTCCCCAGTGACAGGTGAGGATGGGTGCCTTAACCCCAGCCCCCACCTTTGAGTGGGTTATTTAACACTGAAGGCAGTAGAGGGCCGGGCACCCCCTGGTGTGGCACCTGAGCCCAGTGGGTGCAAGACCGCAGCGAGTGGGTAGTGGGGCCAGGCATGGCTGCAGCCACCTGAGCCTGTGTGGGGTGCAAGACCCCAAAGACTGACAGTTGTGGGCCAGGCACGCTGACAAGTGGCACCTGAGCCTGCAGAATGTCGACCCCAGGCCCCAGATTAGGGGGTGGAGTTTGTGCCACAGTGGAGGTGCAGAGTGGGGTGCAGAGGGGCATCTGAAGGCCTGCATGAGAGAGGCAAGTAGAGAGTGGTAGTTGTGAGGCCCTGTGAGCATGGGGGCATGAGATAAGGCCCTGTGAGTAAGGGGTATGATTTGGGTCCCTGCAAGCAGGGGACTTAAAGGTGAGGCCCTGCTAGTATGGGCACTTGAGTTAGGTCCAGGTAAGCCTTTGGGTGCCTGAGGCCGATCTGTAGGGGAGAGGGGGGCGGCAGTGGAGAAAATGCAGGTAAACTATGGGGCGAGTCAGGAGCCCCTTGATTGAGAGCAGCTGGGTGAGTGACCCGGAAAGAGACCAGAGGCTGAGTCAAACCAGTGTTCTGCGAACTGCCCAGCACTGGCTCAGATGAGTGTAACAGGAGGATGCCCAAAAGGCTGCACACTTGCTGGCTGGGGAGTGATGGGAATCAAGTCCAAGGTCCCCCACCTGGGACAGGGCAGGATGAATGTGGCCCCAGGGAAAGGAGGGGCGGTATGAGTGAGGCCCAGAAAGGGCATTCTGAAAGAGACCGGGTGAGAGCCAGTAGAGTGAGAGAGGCCTCAGTGAGAGGGAGGCACTACAGGTGTGGCCCGTAACAGGGCAAAACATGAGAGGCCTAACACTGTGCTGAGTTGGGCCTGGCCTCAGGCCGGAGCAAAGCACAGCTGTTAGAAACCTCTGTGAAGCATGGGACACATTAAGAGATGGTAGGAGCATGTACTTTCGGCCCTGAGGCACGTACTTATTAGGGAGTTTCTTTTTGCTAACTATGCTTCACCCACTGCCATGAAGGCAGCCAACTACAAATACTCACTAATTGCCACTCCCATGCTTGCAAGATATTTACCCTGACTATCAGCATCAAGAAGAGTGTGGTCCTAAGACAGGGTATACACTAGTCACCATCTATCAGCCTTGACAACACACCTCTCAAGGCAGTGAACAAGTTCTGCTACCTTGGATACACAGTAAGCGACAACCTATCACTGGACAAAGAGCTATAGGTGTTCATTGGAAAGGCTGCTACCACTTTTAGTAAGGTCTTCAAACAAGTCTGGAACAATACAAAACTCACAATCAAAACCAGGATGCTTGTGTACAAAGCCTGCATCCTCAGTGTCCTTATGCATAGCAGTGAGACATGGTCAACATATGTACATCAAGAAAAGAGATGAACAGCTTCCACCTACACTGTATACGGTATACCCTTGATATCAGGCAGCAAGCCAGAATCACCAACACAGATGTCATTGCCAAAGTTAACCTGTCAACCATCACTACACTACCCAAACAGTGGTGCCTACGCTGGCTTGGCCATCTTTGCAGGATGGAAGATGAGCACATCCTGAAGGACATCCTACATGGGCAAATTGCAAGTGGAGAGAGAAGAGTAGGGCACCCAAAACTGTGCTTCAAAGATGTCTGCGAGCAGGGTAGGAAGGCTTTTGGAACTGACCCAAACCTTTGAGAGGCCTTAGCACAGGGACAGGCAATTATTTTGGATGGAGGACTGCTTAACAAGGCTGGGTGAACTTTCAAAGGCTGCATGGGTAGCCCCACCCCTTGACAGTTGGACTACCCCCTGGTTCCCATCTTGGGACCGGAAGTCCCTCCCCTTACCCCCCAGAAATACTCCTCTTGGGAGGGGGGGTTGCCATCTTAGAACCATCACTCATTGATGAACAGATGCCATACCAGGCTATGTAGACCCCACAGCAGGCGGCAGGGAGGCTACAAGCAGTTGTACCAGGGTCTGTGTAGCCTAGCTTTAGGTATAAGTCTCCCCCTGCGCTGCTGCAGCTGGCCCCAGGAAGCCACGGCTCAGTGGCTGCAGCTGCTCGCTGACTGCTGCTACCTGAAGCTCCCTGGGCTGTGGCAGGCAGCACAGCCCAGGAAGCCTGAGGCAACAGCAGCCAGTAAGGGGCCGCAGCCACTGGCATGCAGCTTCCCAGGGCCAGCTGCAGTAGTGCAGAAGGCAGGCAGCTCCCTCCTACTTCTTTGTTGGCTGATGCAGCTGGCCCCAGGAAGCTGTGCGCCAGTGCCTGCATCCCCTTGCTGGCTGCTGCCACCTGGGGCTTCCTGGGCTGTGCTGCCTGTCTCACGGGGCTGCTTTAGCTGCTGGCAATCTGTGTTAATCCAGACTGGTGGGTGCAGCCCCTCCTGCACAGCAGGGCAGGGCAGGAGCCCCCCCCGCAAGGCTCAGTACTGCCCCCTTACCCTCCCAATCTGACTTTAAAAAGCTACAGGCTGGAGCCCAGCTCTGCCATGATGGGACAGACGCAGCACCTTCTAATGCTGCAGGGCCTGGCAGGGCAAGGTGGAAGTAAGCCAGCATGGGGCAGCTCCCCTGGCCCTGCAGCTCAGCCCCATGGCGCACCCTGCCCACTCCATCCATGCCCAGACCCAGGCTCAAATAGGACTCACCTGCCCACTCAGTTTGTTGTGAGGTGCAGCCCTGGGGAGCTACTGAGTCCCCACCACTCCTCAAGGGTCTGGAAGCACTCCACTGGTGCTGGGATGGGCAGGGGAACCTCATACACCCAGCCAGAGCAGCCCCACGTGGGCCAGGGCAGGGGCTGCTATGCTGATTCATTGTTTAACCTGTTGTAATTACAACAGGTTAAACAAATATTTATTGAATTGGTATTTACTGATGAACAACTAAGTTATATATTTGTAGAATAGTTGGTTTTAAATGTTTCCATTGTGCACAAACATACAAACTGACTAACATATAACATTCAGAAACAAAACCAAGAAAACTATGTAAGGGGCTATTCATTGCCTAAATATGCCTATATGAATTTAGGTACTGAATCACAGAACATAAACTAAGCTAGCACTATTTTTTCAGTTCTCTTTTAATCCTTCTAATGCTTTAAGTTAAGGACATAACATTAAATCCTAATTGCTATCAAAATCTGAGCCTGTCCTCCAGTCTGTAAAAAGCCCAGCTACATTGTTACTATGCTATTTCCACTGCCTTAATACATTTTTGCTTTAGCCCACAATAAGGTATTTTAAGGCACATAATACATAAAGCCTCACCATACCCTAACATACAAACTGCAACAAAAGAAGTTCCAACAGAACAATTCTTCACTAAATGCAAGAGGGAACTGAATTTGTAGACACTGGTGCAAGTTTCATAATTCCAAAAAAATGGGCCATTGTGTAGATTCATCATCATGCTGTTAAAAAAATTACTCACCTCAGAGGAACTTTTCTATTTTCTCACTAACTCCTTCAGCACAGAACATTTTCACTGTGCTGCTATGCGGTAGTAGTGGCAGTGGCACCAGCAGCTCCATCTCAAACTGGAGCACATGGTGGTGTGACAGCAGGTCTGGCCTAGGCCTTGAGGCACAGCTCCAACTCCTGCTGAATGCAGCAGGCCACTCTCCACACCAGCCATGCCCCCAACTTCCAGTGGTCAGCCAATAGTCCAGCAGGCAGAATAAAGCAGCTCTGCTGGCAAGAAATAGCCCATGGGCCTTACATTAGACATCCCTGCTCTAAGGCTGTATTGTATGGCTTGTTAAGGACCAATCCTTCCAGTGCATTATAGATTACTCAGAAAACATGATACATTACACAATTTCAAAAAATATAAGCATAAGTCAAATAGGGAAAAACACCTGTTTACCTCTTCTTTTTTTATATGGGTAACGCTCATAAAGCACTGAAGCAACAAATCTTTTACTTCATTACTTTCTTCCAGGTCATAATCAAAACACTGTAATGCCTGATGTAGATGCCATAGATGACTTACATCTGCTCCCTGAAAGAGAAAATAATCAGCTGTGTAGTAAAGAAGTAAATCTAATGAAACTTTTAGGATTTGCTATGCAAGAATTGAATCACATTTCAAATTCAGGACCAGAGGCAGTCTTTACCATGAGGACAATGGTACTCGTGCAGAGAGTACAATCAGAAAACTTCAAGATAATAAATGTAATGGAAATGGAAACAGATTAACATAATGTGCATAAATGCAGAGTACAGATTTGGGATGTCTAATGCCATAAAGCAGTGTCCTGGGCTGGAGCAGTGCTACTGATTGGTTGGGCAGGGGATAGAGTTACTACATACTCCATGCCCAGAAGGGAATCCCACCACAGCTGGAGCTGTGCCTGACAATAAATGGGTGGGGAAAAGAGGAGAGGGAAGAGGTCAGAGGCTGCTGTGAGTCTGACTCTGGACCCAAGCTGGGCTCAGGGATGGAGTCAGAGCCGCAGCAGCCACCAGACCTCCCTCCCCATTGCACTCAGATCCAAGATGAGGGACTTATCCTTCCATGCTGAATGGAGAAAAAAAACCTTATCTTGGATTCAAGTAAATATGGAAACTAACAAAAAAGAAATGCAAGTGGGAGGTATGAATTGTTGTCCTTCAAGCAGCTGAAAACTAGAAGCAGAGAAGTGGGTTAAAGAAATTTAGCAGACAGAGGCTTATTACAAAGTAAAGTCTCTTTGAGTATACAAAATAGAATAAACAGATAACTGATTTTCAGAGACGACTAATAAAATATCCTCTGAAAACCAGCCCTTCCTATAAGTTGTCTCAGATACCACAGCTCAAAACAGAATCACCTGAAATCATCTGCTTCTACTAAAAACCTCGACCACTAACTATTTTGGTTTGGGAAAAGTAGAAGGAAAGATTGAAAAGAAAATCATTAACTTATCAAGTGATGACAATTTAAAAATAAATCTGGAGTTTGAAATTCATTTCACATGGTCTAACAATTTACAGCACTTATTACATGAGTGTCTCTTATGTACAGATTAGACCCAATAGGCATTAAACGCATATTAGATTAAGCTATAGTTGAAAGTCTCTATAATTGAGCAGCCTAATTAGTTCAAAAGGAAGAATATTTTGAAGAGATATAAATTCTCTCTGGATATTCAGTAATAATTAAAAAGTTACCCATATAGCTTTAAACCTACTGTAGCAATTTTGCTCTTCAGACTTTTTCTCAGCAGTATAATAAATGCAGTTTTCCCTAGTTGTTCTTTTTCTTCAAGTCCTTTTTTCCACCATATTTCACATAAGTGCTGGATGGCACCCTGTAGGATTCTTTCAGATTCAGGTAATGCATAAAGAATACCTGTAACAAGTACAAGGCAATTATTTACTGCAAGTATAATTAAATTCATGCGACAGCAGTCTGTTAGCAACTTCAATCTGTCTCATGATGCTCAACTTAAAATTCTAGTCTTCCCACAACGGTACCCACAATACTACTCACAAAAGTTATTTAAGTTTACCTAAAAGGCTCTATTAAGTCCAAGGTATTTGTCAGAGCTACTGGTCCAGTAATATTGAAATGTTTCTAAGTTTATGCCTTTTAACTGACAGCAACAGCAGAAAGAGAAGCATATTTACCCACCTTACCCAGGAATCATTAGTATTATATACATTTTCATATGCTAATATTAATAGCTTTGGACATATTTCTCAATAAAAGTCACATCTTTGGCTTAGTTTACAGCATATATCATGAAAACCCTACATTTTAAAAAGTCCCAATCCCAATTAGAGGGGCAAAAGAAAAAAAAAAATCTTATAAATACTTGGAACTGTATTAACTTTCATATAACTTACACATAAAAAATAAGTCAGAAGTCATCAGTAGGCAAACATGCAATTGAGGAATACATACATATTCAGATGGTAGATGTATTCCAAACTAGCAAAGTGCCTGTCAAGAATGACAGGCGGGCGGCAGGCATGGAGCACCACCACCCACCACCCTTTGCTGTCATCACCCCACATCCAGCTGCACGCAACCCCCTCTCCGTGTCCAGCCTCATGTGCCCCCTCACACCTGACACACCAATGCACACCCACCCAGCCACATGTCACACCCACCCAAACACAGGCCACACCCACACCCAGCAGCTTTCTAAGATAGA